TTCGATTACCGATTCTCCTTTTTAGCGTAATAAGGTGAAAACTGAAGAAGTCGTACGCATAAGAAGTTTGAGTAACTTTTGAAGTAGAGAAGATTCTTAGAACGCTAGGATCCCTAGAATTGCGGGTGAAGCTATGAGTTTGTGAAACTTCGTCTTCTAGTCGCATGTAGTTCTCCTACTTTTGTTGAATGTTTGCATCGCATGTATTTAACTTCAGCAAATCTACTCTTGTTGACTGATATGAAGAAATGCATAGTTAATAATGTGCTGGATGGCGAGTATGCATACTTGGTTGCGCAAAATCCGTTTTTCGACTATTTATAAACTGGATTCCTTATTTAGCTGCATTACGCAGCTGGTGACGTTGCAAGCATGGCGCGTGCAGCAGATTTGGTAGTAAGTCAACAAAATTTACCTCCGCAAAAATTTGAAGTGTTATCAAGGGTTCCTACAATTATTGATGAGTGCAAATATTTATGAAGCTCGATTTGCTTATATGAGAGAAACGAACTGGGGGATTGGAATGGAGTGCAAAATTATCTATTTTAACTTTGAAAAAAGAAAATATTATCTCATCCAAAATTCACTCGTGTAACACAGAGCAGCTTTCTTAGTAAACTTTACGTAATGATGAGCTCTAACTTCTTATACTAGGTTAAAAGACTCCTACCGTAAGCTTATTACAAGAGTAGAAAGTGGAATTTCAACACTAAAAAACAGTAGACTCATCAGTAGGCCAATCATCATTTATCACTAACCATCATATCAATTAAAAATTGATAATTTCTTACTCACCGACTGGAGTAGGAAGTGATCACTTTGGCTTTTATTGATTCAATTCGGATAACAAAAATGTGATTCATGTATTATGCATTAGTGCGTAATTATTGCGAGAACATATTTTCAGAATTAAATAACGACAGAGTTCCTTTTCCCTACATTTCCTTTTTCATTTCATCAGTTTTATGAAAGAGGGATGACGTATTCACGCTTACTAAAATTGCTGTCATTCGGAGTTGATTGTAACTTTATTATTCTGAGACAACTGAATGTCATTATAAACTCTGATTAGGAAGTGCGATAATAGTCTACCTAGCCGATTCACTTCACAATTTCAGGTGACTAAGAGTTAAAAAGTGTGATGTACTGCAAAAAAAACGTATTTGGCGCGGTAATCCATTGCTACAATTAAGCATTTGGAACACAAGAAAATGACAAAGATCTTTCATACAGATTTAAACAATACGTAGAGGACATAGAAAAAAACTACTGCTTACATTATTTTTTTATTTTCTTCAGAACGAAAAGATATATAGATTGTTTAACTAATATACCATTCCTATAGATGCACTCGAACTGGTCCTTTCTTTTGGTTGTTCTGCTTATGAAAGCCGTTTACATAGAAAGTTTAGCATGCAGGATCTGCCTACTGGTTGACTGCTCAAGATGCAATTTACCAATGCATAAATTCATTTTTGCTTAAGAATCTCATCTTACCAAACACTTTATAATAAGATGGATTTTGAAAAACGTTCAGAGGCGTGTTTGATGTAATAATAATGAGCAAAGTTATTGAATATAGTCTTTTCCTAGAATGCAGCACATCGCGACATGGAAAAGTTGCAGAAATCAAATAATCATAATGGTATTA